TACGTGTATAATGCCTAGATAATACATTGGTAATACGTGTATAATGCCTAGATAATACATGGGTAATACGTGTATAATGCCTAGATACTACACGGGTAATACGTGTATAATGCGTTGATAGTACATGGGTAATACGTGTATAATGCCTAGATAGTACATGGGTAATACGTGTATAATGCCTTGATAGTACATGGGTAAGACGTGTATAATGCCTTGATAGTACATGGGTAATACGTGTATAATGCATGGAAAATGCAACATTGGAAAATAAAATATACTGGAGCATGAATAAACAAAAGCTAATCAAGAAAGTTAAAGAATGATTTGTGTAGTATGTTGACTCTCTGGCATCTGCTTAGTGTTTACAACCGGCTAGTTGTAAAGTTCGGTCCATGAAGACACATGCAACTTGACCATATGACCTATTTCCTTATTACATTGAATTTTGCCATAGCCAATGTGCGTTGGATGACTAATATAAAATATTTCCTACTGCGCAATTTGAAACGACTGATCTAACAAACCATTTTCTAAGGTTCGTTTGGGAAAAACTGTTTCAACTGTTCATTTTTTGTCTATAGTAAAAAACATCTGTCAAATTACACCCGATGAGCCAAAGATAATCTATGGATACTACTATGTCGCAATGAGGAACTCGCTAATCGGGGGATGATGTTGACAACCCACGAGTACGGGGATGATGTTGACAACCCACGAGTATGGGGATGATGTTGACAACCCACGAGTACGGGGATGATGTTGATAACCCACGAGTACGGGGATGATGTTGACAACCCACGAGTACGGGGATGATGTTGACAACCCACGAGTACGGGGATGATGGTGACAACCCACGAGTACGGGGATGATGACAACCCACGAGTACGGGGATGATGTTGATAACCCACGAGTACGGGGATGATGTTGATAACCCACGAGTACTGGGATGATGTTGACAACCCACGAGTACGGGGATGATGTTGACAACCCACGAGTACGGGGATGATGACAACCCACGAGTACGGGGCTGATGACAACCCACGAGTACGGGGATGATGACAACCCACGAGTGCGGGTTTGGTGGAGACAACCCACGAATACAGGGATGATGTTGTCAACCCACGAGTGCGGGGATGATGTTGTCAACCCACGAGTACGGGGATGATGTTGTCAACCCACGAGTACGGGGATGATGGTGAAAACCCACGAGTACGGGTTTGTGTTGACAACCCACGAGTACGGGGATGATGCTGACAACCCACGAGAACGGGGATGATGTTGACAACCCACGAGTACGGGGATGATGGTGAAAACCCACGAATACAGGGATGATGTTGTCAACCCACGAGTACGGGGATGATGGTGAAAACCCACGAGTACGGGTTTGTGTTGACAACCCACGAGTATGGGGATGATGTTGACAACCCACGAGTGCGGGGATGATGCTGACAACCCACGAGAACGGGGATGATGTTGACAACCCACGAGTACGGGGATGATGGTGAAAACCCACGAATACAGGGATGATGTTATCAACCCACGAGTATAGGGATGATGGTGACAACCCGCGAGTATGGGGATGATGTTGACAACCCACGAGTGCGGGGATGATGCTGACAACCCACGAGTACGGGGATGATGGTGAAAACCCACGAATACAGGGATGATGTTGTCAACCCACGAGTATAGGGATGATGGTGACAACCCGCGAGTATGGGGATGATGTTGTCAACCCACGAGTATAGGGATGATGTTGACAACCCACGAGTACGGGGATGATGGTGAAAACCCACGAATACAGGGATGATGTTGTCAACCCACGAGTATAGGGATGATGGTGACAACCCACGAGTGCGGGGATGATGTTGACAACCCACGAGTGCGGGGATGATGTTGTCAACCCACGAGTGCGGGGATGATGGTGACAACCCACGAGTACGGGGATGATGTTGACAACCCACGAGTATAGAGATGATGCTGACAACCCACGAGTACGGGGATGATGGTGACAACCCACGAGTATAGGGATGATGTTGACAACCCACCAGTGTGGGGATGATGGTGACAACCCACGAGTGCGGGGATGATGTTGACAACCCATGAGTATGGGGATGATGTTGACAACCTAGGAGTGCGGGGATGATGTTGACAACCCTAGGAGTGCGGGGATGATGTTGACAACCTAGGAGTGCGGGGATGATGGTGACAACCCACGAGTGCGGGGATGATATTGACAACCCACGAGTATGGGGATGATGTTGACAGCCCACGAGTACGGGTGTCTCATAACGGTTCCACAGTCTTGTAATGGTGCTTGGTGGTTCGTGGAAAAACATTGCTACAGCCGAAGATAATTCCCTTCCATGCAGTCGGCCGATGGCGTTGTTGCGTTGGGCTTCCGTCAGTCGTGGCATGTTTTCGCTGTTCACTTGCTGAAAGATTGTGATCGCAAGCAAATGAAAACCCAACTTGTTGATATCCAAACAAGTAATGTTGCACCTGCATGTCATGTTGGTGTGTTTCAGCGCCAAGCTCTCACGTGTTTGTGTTTTTGCGATTTTTCCATCTTTTCACCCAATTTATGCAGAACCTCATTTTTTTACACAAATCAATGCCAATCCATGCAGAAATGACCAGTTCATTTTGGTATAAATTTTGTCTGGATATCGGCATCACTACATTTGCGTTTCTATTTTTGCAGAGTATATATAAAGCAAATCGAAATATGATGACACAAATGATACTTCCCCCTCTTAACGGAAGAATGAAGTCAACCGACCATCAGCAGTTACAGTCAACCGACAATATAACTCTGAAACCGCGGCTACATCTGTCATACACCAACATTGGAAATGCTCCGCTCTCAGTAAGTAGGTTTAATACACACACTTTTTTAGTGCTATGATCGGTTTGTTATGGTGATTCATATCGGCATATATTCCTTTGCATTTTCTCGTCACGATGTGGCTCAAAAACTGCCAATGTGACGTTAAATATTAACTCACTCACTCACTTTCCTTTTTCAGACACTTCAAGACTTCTTTGTCGATTCTAAGTTTGGCGTTCATTGTACTAACCATACGAGGTAAGTTTGTTAAATATACAGTGTTTAATCACGATCTCCGCCACATAGGACTAACACAATATCTCTTCTGAAGACAGTTTATCCAGACCGCCTCCGTGGTCTAATGGTAGAGCGTCCGCCCGGAAAGCGGAAGCTCCGGGGTTCGATCCCCAGCCACGTCATACCAAAAGACGTAAAAAGATGGTACTTGTTGTTACCCTATCTGGCGTTCGGCATTAAGGGGCTAAAACAAAGATTGGTCGGCTCGGAGTCAGTATACTGTGTCTGAGTGGGGTATTCATGTTACACTGCGGCATGGTATCTCAGTGTGCTAGCACTATAAATCGGCATCAGTCCGGACTATTCCAAGCAGCCACACACACACACACACACACACACACACACACACACACACACGTGCATGCACGTCGCTATATAAGTGCAATAATCTTGGACGCGACGTTAAACCCCATTTCACCTCACATCACATTATATCCAACACAGACAGGGGCTTACAGGAATATGAATACTCTTTGTTCCTTATGTAGCATGGTCTTGGACATAGTCGTCTCAGGGTCGACGTGAGAAAGCCCATGTATGATCCTTTGTGACATTTGTCAAAATCACTGTCCGTTCCCGGCAAACTCTCACCATGGTTATAACTCTATTAACCCTCCGGTTGTCTCGAACTTGATTACGGATTTGCGAAATGTGAGAGACGGTTCAGGATAATGTTTATTAATAGGTTGTTCTAACTATGACATTTAAATGCGCCTCTTGTCGGCGTGAGTGGAAACATGATTGAGGAAAAGGAAAGGACCGAGAGGTATGTACGTACATGCTTTCTGATATCTGACGGCAAGGCCAGACCTTAGTTAGGTCGAGTCGAATGTGTCCAACTCCCGGATAAGTCGAACTGTTTCTCTGGTCACCAGGAGTTCCAGGCAATATTCGTCTTGGTGAACTTATGGTTAAGCAAAAAGCATTTGAATTGTAGGTATATGGCAATCTGCATATCAAACAATTTTATTACTTGACATTCCCAACTTGACCATGTCACAGTTATGTCCCCTTATTGATTTCATATGGAATTTCATCCTGTTTCTATGTTTTCAGCCACGCCATGCCGTAATGGTCAGCACTGCCGAGAATGTGACGATGACGGAGACTGTTCACAGTGTGACCGTGGATACTTTGGCAGGAAATGCAGTTCAGAGTGCAGCAGCAGATGCACAAATCAGTCGTGTGAACTCACAGCGAGAGGCATCGCGACATGCACGGAGGGTTGTGTTCCAGGATTCCAGGGTTCAAACTGCAACATACCATGTGTCAACCCTGGGACACAGTGTACAGTGTGTGAAGGTGGATGTGATGGCGGGTACTGCATGAGTTCTTCATCCTGTGTTTATGGATGTGTTGACTCCTACTATGGCATTGGCTGTAAGCACTGCTCTGAGAGATGTAAATCATGTAATAACATGTCTACAGGAATGTGTGATCGTTGTCGTGATCCATACAGAGGTCTGAACTGTGAGATGTCATGTGAGAACTGTGCAGGATCTTGTGAGTCTGGATGTGAAGGAGGCTGTCAACCTGGCTTCTATGGACATTGGTGTGATAAGGTGTGCAGTGAAAACTGCCGCTCTGGTCCCGACAGAGATTCAGTTTCTGTCTTTAAATGTGACAAAAATACGCCCAACAACTGTATCCGAGAGTGCGACAACAACACGGGGGATTGTATCCACGGTTGTAATGTCGGATGGTATGGTAGTAACTGCTCATCTCGCTGTAGCTCGAATTGTGCAAATCGTTCCTGCACTGAGTCAGGATCGTGTGTAGATGGTTGTGCACCAGGGTATGCTGGGACTGACTGCTCATGCTATGAGAACTGTATTCAAGATATTTGTCAGCCCAACTTCGGACAGTGTGTGAAAGGATGTATCAACGGTTATTATGGTGCCTTTTGTAACAACACGTGTGAGATCTGTCTTGACGGCATATGTGATTGGGAATTAGGAACCTGCATTCGAGGATGTAATTTTACTGACCTTCGATGCAAATCTACCTGTACACATGATTGTCCCTTAGATGTTTGCCTTACTGATGTGTCTTGTGAAGGTAGGTTCTTGACATATGCATTTAAAGATAGATCAAATAATCATATATACCATCACTTTGTGTCTTTATCCATTGTCCATGCTGAATGTCTTTTCGGGACCCAGGATGTTGTTTGAAGATAGATGTGGGGAAAGAAATACCATTGAAGTTGTATTTATTGACCAATATGTATTTGTATTCACAATTCAGTTAACATTCCCATCCATCTCAAAATACGACGACGTCTCTGCAACTTGTACCTTTACATCTTTCACATCATATGACATATAAAAAGTATTGAAAAAAACGTTACATCTCAACTTCCGAGAGTGCAGTTCAATCGCATCTGGAATGAACCTTTGACTGTTACTTGTCATGTGTTGCACGTGCATGGACTAAATCATTGGTAACGTTTAAACGTGTGTGTTTGGGTAGCTTCATTCATCACCTACATTCTTGCACTTTTCAATGTTTTCATAGTCGTTGTAAGCATCCATAAAAGCATCCAATCAGTGTGAATTAAGCAAAAACAGCATGTTTCCAAATGATAATGACATTGTCAACATACTCAGACCTATTGTCACATGTTTCCCTGAATATTGATGTGTTGTTAATGTTATTCAGCAGGCAAGCAGCGGCAGATGGATATCAAGTATATCGTAATAGGACTGTCAGCATTGCTTGTTCTTACTGGCATCCTCTGTGTATTTTGTTTTGGAAAACGCTGGTCGAAAAGAAGGTGAGTCCTCAATTGCGCCACGGTTTTGTCCTCGGTTTTTGAGTTATTTTATGTCTCTCTGCATAAACATCAAAACACAAGCGACAATAGACTATTCACATATGGAAAGACAGTTAGACAAAACTACACTCTTTTGAGGGAGGAGTATTTCCCAAATGATCCAGGATGTCCTTATTCATCAAACACGAGTCTCCCAAGATATGGTGGATTCAAATCCCAGGATAGACCAAATTATGATCATTGTCTGTCAACATCATACACGTGTTAGTGGGCGTAACCAAAACTGTAACATCTAGCTCGATGGAAAAGGTCTTCCAAGCTATTGAGTGTTCATGTCTTCCTTCTGCTATGTATTTCACAGTTAATTACATTAACCTTCTCAATTTATACACAGGAACGCTGAAGCAAACAAATACATAGTCGAGTACCAGCCTCCATCAAACAGATATTGGGAAATAAGAGAATCAGATGTGGACCAAGAATGTGACTACTCTGAAAATGAGTCATCTGGTGTTGTGGCAAAACAGCTTCAGGAGTCACACAGTGACAGAGGGGCACACAGTGACATTTCCTCCGATGATACTTCTGGAGACAACTCGTCGTACACTCACCTAGTGAGGGACATCGGTGTCGATGATCAAACAACTTATATCAAATATATAACACCACCTGCGGAACAGGATGTGGAGTAAACTGTAATTTCGAAGGCAACCCCTATCCCTCCGACTTGTGGAGGTTGAAGGGGACCTCCTCTTATATCTGTTTTAGATAACTCTCCTAGACACTGTAAGTAGGGAAAGTCTGGTTGATCATTGGATGTGCATCAAGTGAGGACATTACGTAATATTTTGTAATATTTTGTTTTCAAAATATTAATATGGGAACAAACACCATTATAAAGCATTCTAAAAGAAGCACTTTCACAAATGTAAGCATGAGAATGAGTAGGGTGCTGGTGCCAAATGTGACTGCACAAATTCGAACTCTCAAATTTGCCCCTGCAATTGTTTTTCTCAAACACGAACTGAAGACTGCTTGTCGTGACACGGGACATATTTTTGAAGGTCAAGTTCACTGGTTTTTATGCATATTTGGTTGAAAAAGTAAAACGATTGTTTCATAGGTTGGATTTTGGAAATGTATGCAATAACGTACTTGACTTTGCTGTGGGACAGTTGCCGATCCTGTGATGGTTTAGTTTGCTATATTTGTGTGTGCTGCATGTGAAGCCTATGTATATATGGATATTATGTATATATAATGATATATCTGTCCATCAAATTGTGCTGATTGTTTTGATGTGGTTTTCGTCTATAATGAAAATGAGAGACGGCTTCATCTATTTCCTATTTAGATGTATTCATATAGATTCAGAGTGAAAAGAGGGATGATTTCAACTCTCCAATAGTCAACTTTCTCTCTTTGTCGAACAACCCGTGAAGATTCCGGGGTAGAATAGGTCTTCAGGAACCCATGCTTGCCGTAAAAGGCGACTATGCTTGTCGTAAAAGGCGACTGACGGGATCGGGTGGTCAGGCTCGCTGACTTGGTTAATACATGTCATCGGTCCCAATTGCGTGGATCGATGCTCATGATATTAATCACTGGATTGTCTGGTCCAGACTCGATTATTTACAGACCGCCGTCATATAGCTGGAATATTGCTGAGTGCGGCGTTAAACAACAAACATACCAATACTCTTTGGCGATTAATATCACAGCGGCTCCTGTCTTTGGAACTCTACAGTTCACAATCACGCATGCCTAGTTACAACACCTAGTACCATCACCATTTTACCGTGATTCATCAACACATGCTCAGGATTCTTTGGCTTGGCTTGGTGCAGGAGGCAATTTAAATATTGGTGTTTTTAACCAGTTTGCTCTTTTGAGGGGACTAAAGGAATGTTTATTTATGTTTTATATACAGCCGATTAGTATTTTTCATTGTCCTTTACTTGTACTTGTTGTCATGTATGGTAACCTCATTCCTGGTAACATTTACCATACATGTATGCTGTTTTGAGAAATACGAAATTATGAATGTTTATATATACATACTAGCATATAGAAAGTAAACTTATCTCTTATATTGTGTTAAAATATACATATTTCAATAGTGTATGCCATGTTCAAGTGGTCCTTCTACATTTATGGTAAAACTATGACCTTATCCTCTTGATCCTCATCATAAGAAAATACCCACAATCCGTGTATCTTTCTTGTGAACTTAATGTCGGTGCTTTGGAGTCCCCATTGAGTAGATGTCAGGGAAGGATTCATTAAACTGTTTAATGTCGACATCACCCAGAACGAAACCCATTAACTTTCTTTATCGCCTCCTGCTTTGATAAATTATCCTTGAGGTTTCGTCGGCGTTTCGAAGCCTCCACAATCTTTTTGCACGTCCCAGTACATATTTCATTATATATTTATCTATTACTACTCTGAATGTAAACAACACAATGGGTTTCTTATTGTATATTTGTAATTTATGCTCCTTATTGTATCAATAAAACCACTGCATCTGTAGTGTTAGTTTGACCTTTTTCCTGGTGAATGTGCTTAATGAGACAACCCCCATGGTCAAGTGGATAGAGCATCTGCTCGAAAAAGCGGAATATCGGTCGAGTCATACCAAAATCAGATAAAAGATGGTAGTGTTACCCTGTTTAGTGCCTGGTTTCAGAGAATGAAACAAGGTCGGCACGAAGTCAGAATAATGAAAAAGAGCCATGGTATCTCAGTGGGCTAGCACTATAGAACTGGCATTAGTCCCAATTAATACAAGCAGCCTTGCACGCATGCACGCACGCAAGCACGCGCACACGCACGTTCATGCAAGTCGTCATATAAGTGCAATAAACTTGAACGTGACGCTATTTAACCCCATTTTACCTCACCTACGCCTTACAATGTTACAATTATGGAAGCTCACCATAAACGCCTTGAAACATAAACATCTTTAACGCTGCATGGTTTAAGATGAAATAAATGGATTTCAGAACAGCCCACTGTTACAAAACAAAATAGACAAATGGAAGTCAAGTGAGATTATGTCGTCGCCTGTTTTTCCACATCGTCTCTGAAACCTCAGTTGAGGCTGGCTGGATCTTCACTCACTTGTTCTTACCCAATTTGTTGGCAGTTATATTTAGCATCTGTTCTTGGCTATTTAGCATTGTTTCTTTTATAAGTAGACAAATTTGGTATGTGTTTAGTAGTTCGTAGTCAGACTCAACACAGCCCCCGTCTTTCTGAATAATATTAATCCTGACCTTGATTTGACCTTCTCCCCTTAAGCCCATGAGACCAATGGAGCAAAACCTTGATATGTTTTCAACCATGGGATGTATAAGGTAAACATGTGCATCTAGGTACATCAATTTAACCAAAAATCCCAAATGTTGTAAGGTACAACGAAAAGAAAAAGTTGTACATCAGACATCACACAACGTTTTGTAACTACGTTTCAGAACCTACGGTGTAACCTTATACAGTTTGCTTCTTGATAGTCGTATACGAATAGAACTGCTTCATCATAATGTCAAAAAGTCATAGTGTACCAGTAGATCATGATGCAGTCACCCCAACTGCTTTGCTCCTACTCTTTCATGACAAAGCTCACTCTGTGGCAATGAACCGCCATTCCATGAATGTCTAGGAAGCAGTCATCCGCCTGAATCCACACCTGGATGTGTCTTTCGACCAGCCATTGCCATACAAATACAATGGAACTGGACAGACACACACGGGGAAGACCACTTTGTGATAATCTTAGGTGGTCTTCCCATCGAAATGGCGGCCATGAGTGGGTGGACACAGTGGGTGGACACAGGCCCTGGTGAAGGCTTAGATAGCAACCTCGAGCTCTGGTATGGCAGACTCCTTTCTGCGAGCAGCACATGTTTCGCGCATCAGGTGACAGCTGCCACTATGCATAACCACATGACGCGCATGACACCTACACTGAACGACCCGCTGCCGAGGAACAAGACGCACTGGCCTTTGATGCCTGGTGTGATGAGAGAGCGGGGAACTGTCCACAGTTTCAGTACTGGTCAATTGAGCTCTGCATCCTCATGTTTGTGCGATCACTTGCGAAACAAACTTCACACTGAACCTTGATGCTTTGGCAGAGCTCTGCGTGTGGTTATTTGCTCCTGACCATACCCACTATGCCCGTCACCCCTTCTCAGCAATTGCAATAGACCATGCACATGAACAAAGTAATGAGTGTATCAAGGGAGATGGTTGTGCCGTTGGCCTCACAGAAAACCTCACAGCACTTCGCCGATGTCGATCGTCATATTTTGCCATGTATTATACTGTTACCGAATTATATTTATAATTATATTTAACGATACTATATTATGTTCAGTTAATGTAGTACCAAATACATTTCAAATGATACTTCGTTCTGTAAAACGTTTTGACAATAAGAGAAAAAACAGATGTGATCGAAAACTGAACGACTCTGGTGCTACAATGCTCACTCCTAACTCGTACTGCAGTTATTAACTGCACAGCGATGACGATATGTGTCGTAATTAGTAACAAGGCCTTTTTCATATATCTATTCCCGTTTGGATTACGGTTTAGACTAGGTCCCCAATAATCCATGTTTGAACGAAGAGCTGCCTAAGGGGCGATAAAATGAAGGTTGATTGTGTGTCACTGTACACCTTACGAGGTTGTGGGACGTGGGTCATAATATCAATCACTGGTTTGTCTGGCCGAGAATCCATTCTTTTCAGACCGGAGTATGGTATTGGAACCAAATTACTTTAGGTGTTTCTTATTAATGGGTATTGTGTCACTTAATATCTGTAGTAGGCTGATCTGACGTTATACATGTGGAAATTTAATTTACCGTGTTTCCTAAATTTTAGGCAATTATACAATATATATATATATTGTTTTTTTTAAATAAACTGTAAATATATGTTTATTGAATATATACTCTTCAAACAAAAGACAATACATCAGGATTGCAACTCGGTTGTTTTTTATTTTTCGTGTTTAAATTTAATAAATATTATAAATAGTGGAATGTATAGGTAAACTATTGCTGTACAATATGCACTTAACAAAAACAGGTGCAAAGACGTCCGGGGTATGAGAAAAGTTATATCCTCCTCGAGCTGCTATCATCTCATGGCAGCGACTGCCCAGAGGCGCGATCAAAGTCTGTATAACAGCCCGGGGGATGTTCTGCAACTCCTGCCCTAGCGCCACAAACAGTTCCTGAAGTGTCTGTGGCGGTGGTTGACGTTGACGGACACGACGATCCAGCACGTCCCACAGATGTTCAATAGGGGACAAGTCTGGCGAACTGACAGGCCAGGGTAGCGTGGGCACGTTGTTCTGACGCAAAAAAGTCTGTGCACACACGTGCGACGTGGGGTCTGGCGTTGTCCTGCTTAAAGATGCCGCCATTAAACGTTGATGAAGGGGACAACGTGGCGCTGCAGGATCTCGGTAGCGTAGACCATTTTCAGAGCACCATCCACTCTTACACAACCATGACGCTTCCCCTTCCAGTCGATCCACTTGCTAAACGCAATTCGCAGTGAAACGTTCGTTACTACGTTGGTACACACGGGCACGTCCATCAGCACGTCTTAGCAGACGTGAACAGAACCCGTTTCCATCTTGCTTGAGGGCGTGTGACTCTCTGACAACACCACTGTAAACGTTCACGCAGGTGATGCGGCGTCAGGATGTTACGCTGCACGGGTCTCTCGGCTAGAATACCGACTGCTCTCGACAGTGATGAAACGGTTCCGCAGGTGCCTTACCCGGATGTAAACGATCTTGGCTAGGCGTTGTAACGCGAGGTCGTCCTGACCATGCCCTGTCACGAACCTTGCCGTTGGTGTTGTAACGTCTCCACAAGTTAGAGATGGTCAATCTGGTCACACCCATCGCCTGCACCACATGCTGATGTGTTTCACCCACTTGCAGTCGGCCGATGGCGTTGTTGCGTTTAGCTTCTGATAGACTTGGCACATAACGGCCCGTTTTCTAATTTTCTGATATGTGTGTCAGCAGTAATTGTCCTAGCCTTTTAAACCTTGCCGAGACAGGAATAGTCACGTCAGTTCAGAAAATTGCATGCTGCACGTATATGGTATTGCAGCTGCGATTAGGCGAATTGCTCCGTCGCGACGCCACAATATTACGTTTCGGGCAATCTGCATGTTTACTCTTATACTTAATGAAACTTAATGATTACTTGAGAAATAACGTATAAATTTCTACCATACATAAACGATCGGGCCCGGTGTCATCAAAATTATACATGTATAGTTGTTTTATTAAAGAGTTGAGTTCTAGTTTTGACTTTGCTATAATGGGAAACATTGTCGTTTTTGCTGCAGCAAGGGTGAAAATGAGACACGAGCAGGAAAACAGGAATGCTGGATCATTGAGGAATACACAAAATAAACCCGGGGCTGTGAATTATGTTAACGTAAGTACAGTTGTTAAATTCCATGGTCCATTTACATGATGGTGGTTTTGTGGCTTTAAATGAATCCTAAGAATGTATAAATGCATTTTGTTCTATGCCTGCACCAGTCTGAAGCATATTTATTTTTGTCAAAAGAACTTTCGACAAAATCTCAGACCCCCCTTGAATATGAAATGGCCAACCCCTTACAATGTCTGCCATTCGTATTTTGCTTCCTGCAGTTCAAGCCTAGAGGGTTATGGTGTCTGACTATTTGTTATAGTCATATGTATCTTTACGTTTTGAACATTGTCAGAAAAACAAGACCTAACTGTTATCTGGGCTATGCGACGCCCTGGTTTCAAACCATATTTATTAACGTGACTAAAGCGTATTCCAAAATATTTACGGAACATGTCGCGAAATGTTTGTGGTATGCTTTTACAACATTGTCGCGGACTATGGTCATGCGATAACGTTGTCGCAACACATTTCATCCTTCAAACACAAATTATTTCATGTCGGTGTGACAACGTCCACGGTAGACCACAGAATAACGTCGTAGGGACGTAATATTATAACATTGCCACAACGTAAACTACAACGTTCCAACAACGTAAAAATACAACCTATGACGTTATCTCAACATTGTGACGACGTGAATATGACGTATCAAAACGTTAGCACACAACCTTGTGACAACATGAATGGGCGTCCACAGAATAACGTTGTATGGACGTTATGTCTTAACGTTACCACAACGTTGTCGCAACGTTGTCACAACGTTGTCACAACGTGAAATTGTTAGCTGAGTATGTACATTTAGGTACATGACTATTGTATTTCACATAAAGTTTCTCATGTTGTAAAGTATACATGTGCATCTGTGTACAGGGCTACTCTATTTTACACAAAGTCACCCATGTTGTAAGAAACAGATGTTTCCCTTGGTACACAAATTTCCATATGACAAGCTCCTATTAGCGTCCCTTTCACCTGACTTTCAGCAGATGTGTTTAAAAAAATTGACTTATCACTTTTAGTTTTAGTACACAATCAGTAAACACACTATTGTGTCACTGGAGTGTCTGGTCTAGTATCACTGGGTTGTCTGATCAAGACGCGATTGTTTACAGGCTGCCGTATGTATTCACGCACTTTGAAGGCGGACTCGCTAATTCTGACAACAGATTTAAAGAGTCGTGTATATCATTATGTCTTCACGGAAATGCCTGTAAAAGAGAAAAACATCCTTTTGTAGGTGAGGGGACATGGGGTTTAACGTCGCGTTCAATAATATTGAACTTACATGGTGACGTGCATGCACGTATTTGTGTGTGTGCGTGTCATGTAACTGTGGTGTCGAATCGAACAAGAGTCGACAGGGCCACGAGGGAACACATTAATCACTAACGCGTCGTTTCAACTTAAGAGCGACCATTTAAAACAGGGCGTTTCAGGGCATCCAACATGAAAAGTGGACAATACCATTTTGGGTTTTATTAAATTACCTGACGCCACCTTAATTTTGTTTCGAGCAGAATTTCATTGAACAAATCAGTTTTTTCGACACTGTTACAGACCGTTTGGATATTTGCTACAACCCACAAGATCTGCATTTGAGGCGGCTTCTCTCAGGCCCGCGACCCTAGAACCACACCACCTCCATAATATCACGTGATGGAAAGGTGTATGCTGCAAATGCTGGAGTTAACAAGACTACCGTCAACAGACTCTATCTCACACCCCTGTTGGCGAGAAACCGATCTGAGATAACTTGTATCAAATATATGTATGAGACCAAATGTTAAGCTCGTAGGGGACGATGGGGTATCCTAGCGGACCTGAGTTCGATTCCCCACATGAGTACTATTTGTAAAGCCCATTTCTGGTGTCCCCCGCTGTAATATTGTTAAAAGTAGCGTAAAACAATACTCACTCACTTACTCCCCAAACGTCAGAGTTTGGATACCCCATGGTGTTGACTTTTTCATATGCACCTTGAATTTTAAGGTGTGTAAGAAACACATCCCTGCAATCGTGCCTGTCAATAAATTCTATTTTATTCAAACTCGTTGTTTCAAAGCGTATCTAACCAACGATCCTCTCCACAACCCGTTTTAGAACGAAGAATACACTCGTGTGGTAATCTCCATATCCATCGCAATCAGAGTAATCTGTGTATTTATGTAATACAAGGGATGAATATGTGTCGGCAAGAACGCAGTAATCTGGTTGGTCAGAGAAATGGGTTAAGAAGAATTACATGGTTTTGCTATCAAGAAAGCCATTGTTTGTCAGGATCTTTCGTTCAGAACATATACCACCATTGTTTGTCAGGATCTGTCGTCCAGAACATATACCACCATTGTTTGTTGGATCTTTCGTCCAGAACATATACCACCATTGTTTGTTGGATCTTTCGTCCAGAACATATACCACCATTGTTTGTCAGGATCTTTCGTCCAGAACATATACCACTATTGTTTGTCGGGATCTTTCATCCAGAACATATACCACCATTGTTTGTCAGGATCTGTCGTTCAGAACATATACCACCATTGTTTGTCGGGATCTTTCGTCCAGAACATACACCACCATTGTTTGTCAGGATCTGTCGTCCAGAACATATACCACCATTGTTTGTCAGGATCTGTCGTCCAGAACATATACCACCATTGGTTGTCAGGATCTTTCGTCCAGAACATATACCACCATTGTTTGTCAGGATCTTTCGTCCAGAACATATACCACCATTGTTTGTCAGGATCTTTCGTCCAGAACATATACCACTATTGTTTGTCGGGATCTTTCATCCAGAACATATACCACCATTGTTTGTCAGGATCTGTCGTTCAGAACATATACCACCATTGTTTGTCGGGATCTTTCGTCCAGAACATACACCACCATTGTTTGTCAGGATCTGTCGTCCAGAACATATACCACCATTGTTTGTCAGGATCTGTCGTCCAGAACATATACCACCATTGGTTGTCAGGATCTTTCGTCCAGAACATATACCACCATTGTTTGTCAGGATCTTTCTTTCAGAACATATACCACCATTGTTTGTCGGGATCGTGCGTCCAGAACATATACTACCATTGTTTGTCAGGATCTTTCTTTCAGAACATATACTGCTGTGATGAGTGATTATCCCATCTCACACAATTTGAGTCAAATGTGAAAGGAACATATGACCTGTCCACAACAGCGTACATCGATGACGTATATACAATGTATCATTAACGTTCAAGTGTTTAACCGGCAAACAGGGATGTATGAAAGGTCCTTGAACGTATTTTGTTTCAATACCAATGTAACGGTACATCATGGCGACTAACGGGATCGGGTGAAACGAAGTGCTTTCACTTTATCAGCTGTCAGCTGGAGAACTGTACTATAGGTTGTTATGTATTTTGTAACACTGGACGTTCGTTGCGCCGTTGAGGAATTTGTGTCACCAAAGGTGTTGCACTGCACTCTTGTAACTCACATACATGTTCGATTGTCTTTAAAACCTTCAAATTTATGTTAAAGGGGCTTTAATCTCTGGCTTCTCCTTGGCTGTCTGACACTGCCCGCTAGGGCTCACTAGCTGCGATTTGCTCGCAACTGTGCGTGACAAGAGACTGGGCTGCGGTCTGTAAGGACAGCATAAATATACTTCGAGACAATATTTTTTTACGCATTTTAAACACTGATTGGATACCCGTGATGTATGAAGATGTCGAAATAGGGTGCATGTTAATCAATTTCTTGAGCCTACACAAACATACAAAAGCTCATCGGATGTCCTTATTTTGGAAATACCCCTGATGGTTATAGTTTAATGATAATAAAACGTATCCCTGATGTGAAAGCATTTCCGAATTTCGGATTGCCTGGGTAATACGATTGCTACGCTCTTGTTGTCAAGCATGTTTCCTGGTATAACCCCACGCCTGTGTATGTGTTGTCATTGACTGGAAGCTTAGTTAATTAATTTATTACAGGTATAATTAGTGGTAGCACCACTCGGATTACCAGACAAATGTTCCCATTTGGCATTTGGTAATTATTTAATCTGTATCCCGGTCTGAAGTGGGGTGAAATATATCTTATGTAATATGCACGTGGCAGCCCAGCAAGAGGAGTGATGAGATGGTTTACTTTTTGGTAAATCAACTGATCATTCCTTCCCATTTAAGGATCAGCAGAAAATACGTTGATTGAATAATCACTGTTATTTTGCACAGTGGATCTGTCAATAGTAAGTGTTTACATGTCTAGGTTTAGGAAAGCAGACGGAATACCCCCATATCTGGGCGTTAAGCGACGATGCAAACACAACATACTTAGTTCAAAGGATTAGCCGATAAAACGTTTATTGATTGTTCATTGTTATCTAACGCTATGTTTTTTTAAGAACCATGGACATTATGAAAATAGTTGTCACGTGGGCTGTCTCAGCTGGCCTTTGAGACTTGACATCTATATGAAACACTGCAAACAAACTAAGTGATCAGTTGGGAAACGAACACCGGTTATAATATCCCGAAAAGCTATATATAATTAAAATATTTGATTGTTACAGAGACACGTGACATCGAATAAAGTTATTTGTACAGTTCCAGACGTATGGTATATTGTTCCTTAATGTGGATATTCACGGATACATTCCTCAAACAAGGTAGCTGCCTAAATTTATGCATTTAACATTGGTAGGTTGTAATTATGATATTTGCATATGTTTTTAATCATTTGCCATTGCATTAAATAGAATCATACTTGCTCCTCAACGTTTTCGTTGGGAAGTTCTTCGATGGGAGACAGACGCTGTTTTCACAAGCCTTTTCGTTTGGAGGCTTGTATTTGTTACAGTCAATGTGAAAATGTGATTCTATAAAATGTCTGAATATTTCAGTAACTTCCAAATTGACTGAAACATCTGTCCATTTATTTAACTGATTGTTTAACAATTATTAAGAGGTTCAAATGGGCTTAAAACATCAATAGACTAATTATGGTAGGACAAGAAGCCAAAACTATAGAAATGTTCTTTGAATTTCGATTGCTTTTAATCCTATCATTTTCAGTCACTGGGTGATGAAAGTAAAGTATAAAAATGTTTGGAATTCGTGATCATAATAACAGAACGGGACAGATTGTTCAGTCAGTTTGTAAAATAACTGAATATTTAGGCGTTTAATAAATTGCCTAAGTGAAATTGTTACACATTTTGACTATAAAATATACACAAATAAGCAATGCACAGGTGAAATATTTTCAAAATAGTGCTAAACGAAAATCGCACAATACCAAGCAAGTGACTTATCAAAATTTTGTCACCATCACCTTTGCAAAGATCAACATGTCGTTATTATTTTCAAGACTAAACCGTATTTCAGTTTGTTGATCAATATGACAATACGCTCTTACCCTATCAATAAAGGCGACAAAAATGCGCTTACGAATGGCGCAGCACAGTTCGAGTACTAGTCTAGATTTCTGCTATATCATCCGGGTACTCACGGGTACTCACGAATAAACGATAACAAAGGCAACAACCAGTCCCGGGGAATTGCTTTAGATCAGTGCCCCTTTAAGTATGCTATAAAAAAGCTCAAAACAAACCGGTGTGTTACAAAGATAAATTAAGTGTAATATCCGACTGCTGTATGTTATTATTCAGCGTTATCTGTATACACTGAATAACCCATTATCATTATCATGCACTCGCAACCTAATGACGTCGTAAATTGGACTGGGCAGCACAGATAAACGCAGTGGCTAAAAGATCACATCAAAGAAGTACCAGCGGTATGACAATCACTATAAGGAGAAAAGGTACAGATAATGGACGTGGGGATTGTAAGAATATGCGGGAAAGACAAAACTTATAATAGTTATGTACATAATGTTAATATCTCATATACAAATAAAGGAATCGTGGTCGTTGTTTACCGTTAAATTAAAAAAACTGCAGTGAGAATAAACCACTTGGAACTTCGCATCTCATGGTTTATTCTCCCTGCAATGTTTTTTTGTACGATGAACAACCCCCATTCTTCGTTTATTTCTTAAATAAAAGCGACATAATCCATTCCATAATAATACCAATATCTGCTATCAGCAGAATCCATTGTAGGATAAAACAGGAACAAATGAGGAGAACATGATTGAAGTAGGATGAACATTAAGGGGTGGGGATTACACAATGAAACAGTCTGTGGGACACATCTTAAACAGCTTGATTCCTGGTGGGGATGTCCCCAACAAACTCATGATTTGTTTATCCAGACGATTTCACCTGAAGGTTTGTCTGGACAAAGAACGTCTCACTGTGTAGAGTCAGACGATGTGATCTAGCTGTTAAATGGGTGACACTCGATATGATGTCTAGTTTAGGCAAGCATGGTACATATGGGAGGATTTCACCTATGATCCAACCATCCCTCTCCGACGAGAAGTTCGTGAAAACGATATCTGAAATCCTCCCCATGATTCTTCAAAGCCTCAGCCACTTTTGATTTCTTAAGGCCACGAACTGTTGAACTCAAGGATTGCAGGAGAAACAGTGATATTGGTAAAGAGAGAACACCAAACATCAGTCCACCGAGTCCAACCATATGATGGTTATTGGTGTAGACTGTCAGAGGATGGTTATTGGTGTAGACTGCCAGAGGGTGGGCAGATGCTTCTAAATTCAAGACTGCAGTGTCTGTAGCCTCTTCATGCCAGCAATGCAGAAACAGGGCGACATTTAGGATCAATGTTACCACAATCAATATAAATTCACTGTTGCTGGATTTCATATACTCCCCAGCATGGATCTTGTGTTGAATTGTACAATGAAGAGAACGCACTTCAGCTCGAAGAGACGCATTTTCATCCATGCGGGTGACATACTTGATTGAATTCACAAATTTGTCTAGTTTCGACTCCACATCATTCCAAATGGAGTTATCTGAAATAATCAAGTACGTTTCTAAGACAAGATTGACGAGTCCACACAAAACTACAGTTGCTGTGAATAATTTCAAGAAGGCAGAAGTTGAAAACCAAACATCCACGAAAACACACATCAGTCGAAGTATTATAACGAACACAATGGCGGAGACCTGCACACAGATACACAACAGCTTGAGCAATGTAGGAAGGTAGTTGGACGTATCATACTTCCTGGCAAGTTCAGTTAGGTCAGCAGGTACTTTGTCTACTATCTGTATCAGGCGTTGTCGGCGAATTTTAGCTGAGGATAGAAATAAATACATAATTATTTACCATTTGATGATCAACAAGAAATTACCTTTTCTAGTGTTTTCAGGCTCAATGTGAACATGACACGGTGTTGGGTAACCTGATTAGACATTACGACTTTACACCGAGTTTAGTCACCACATGCTAACTTGCTGTTTCATCAATAAAATACGACGCTTTGTGTCCTTGATCCGTGTCAAAAAGAAGGTGAAATGAATAATCTAATCAAAAGTGGCTTAAGTGCTGATTCACGATTAACGTCTGTGTGCTTCTGTTTTCAAAAAGCGACATTTTGTTCTGTCCTAACAAGAAAGAAAGCGTCATTTTACATGTAGATAATATTTCAATAACCTAAAACACACAGCACACGTGCATGCAGATATCGTTTTCACTAAAATACTTCAGAGGGGCCCTCTTTTCAAAACTCAAGTGAGTCAAATTCAATAGTTAAGTCTAAACTCCTACAATTTAGAGTAACTAGATGTACTTGAAGTGACCAGCACTGGTCACTTCAAGTACATCTAGTTACTCTAAATTGTAAATTATTTTCAAAATAGTTTATGGTTGTCTGTTAGGAGTTTAGACTTAACTATTGAATTTGACTCAGGGCAGAGGAAGGACAATAACTGTGATATTAACTCCCCTGGTCAATTACCCGTTCATATTCTTTATTCAATACTCAACCCATCTATCTTGTTGGTTATCACTGATTCTATGCAATTGAACGTGCATGTTTGTTTGGACATAAATAAGACATTTCGTTAGCAGCAGGCAGTGAACCTGACGTAGCACCAACCATTTAGTTTCTCTAAATGTGTTGCCATATTTCGGATCAACTCTGCAGTTTGCGACGGCGTCTTCTTATGGATCTTTATGCTGTTGGAGATCAGAGTGTGCAGATCCAGTGGCACAGTCAACACCGACAGCACAACCCCTCCGATCTTCAAGACTTTGGCCCCCGTCGACAGCACGTCTATCATCGTCTTCCCCACTGCCATCGTGGCCCGAGCTGCGACTGCCCCTGCAACAGCTGTTGTCCTGGCAGCAGATCCGCCTGTCTCTGCTGCTGTCTTCAGCCCACTGAGGATCAGTTCCAGGGTCACCCGACTCTCACTTTCTTCCAGGCTGTCGATTTCCTGTAGTTGAAAGCATGTTGCTCTTTTTACCGACTTCTGATCAAGTTACGTGTGATATATATGAATTCCCATTTAGCCAAGAGGTTACATTAAACTCTTTCAAACATCTTCACAGTTTGATTCATGTAGGTTCTACGTTGTCATCTCAATTCTGAAATTATAACCTTGCTGCACTAACATACACGTGATTACGTGGTTGAAGAGAGGTTACAATGAAGTGTCTATAACTAAAAAGAAACATAACAAACTGACAGAAAAACATCAAAATATTTAAAAGGTGATTACTTCGGTAATCATATTGCGAAGTTCATGGTTGTTATTGGAATTCATTCTCTCAATGAGGCTGGCCAAGTGTGTCACAGTTTTCTGATAGTCATCAATCTTGGCTTGAGCTTCTGTCATCGTTTTGCTGTTGATGATTTTGTCAGCAATGGTCGTCGCCAGTCCACCAAGACCGCTGGAGACACCGACAGCAACGCCCGCTATTGTGATCCCTAGGGATGCTCCAAAAGTGAATGGGGCCGCTGCTATTCCTGCTACAGTTAAGCCTGTAGCTGCGATCCCACCGGATGCGAAGGCAGTCTTGGCGATGTTCATGTCTCGTTGCTTGACATCCAGTTCATCTGCTAGGTGCCTCAGAGCGTCCACCACCTCCTGCGTCTTCCGTTGCTCGTCCTGATAGCATCGCAGTATATCAGCAACTAGCTTCTGGACGGAGCCTCTGTCCATGGTGCTGTAAGATTAGATGTTGAAAGTGAGTTGACGCTTGAGGGCGTATCTAACAGAAAACGTTCCACACCATGCGGCATCGAATAGTCTGAGTGTGTTGTCAAAATACACCTGCTTTGAATTTAGATTTTCCAGCGTAGATTCAATAACAATGCCGTTTAGTTTATTGTCATTCTACCATGACAAAATAACAAACTATGCGCGAACCCTTTGCTAATATGGAACCTGATGAGAGAATTGTCCAATTCAGAGATCAATGATGGTTGGTTTTAATCAGTAAATGTTTGCTTTCATACTATCGGACAACCTCTATCATCAACTGCTTACGCGTACACTTACATCACTGCACTAAGAGACAATTACATAATCATGTGCAGATACCATATAAAACAAATCAAACGACCGTAGTTATGTAACCGGGTTTTCTTGGCTTTATCCATTATTTTAAACAGATGACACCAAGACGGCTACGGGGTGTGAGGCTTATGTTTATTATAATCACGATAGTCACCCCTATGTGTGGCACAAGGGTGTAAAACGTGTTACCCTTGAAATGTCACCATTCATGATATGTCCTTTTGTGGTGATCTATGAATACTCCCAGTGCAGTGCATAGTGAAGGTAGCAATATGGAGTTAGTCAGAGCAAGAAGGTAAAGTTTGAATGTGGCCAATCACAGGATCGCTTGGGGTGTGATTGATCAGCAGAGGGCTGGACAAAGAATGTAGTTGAGCTTGGGTTGTGATTGATCACTGAGGCCTGGACTTAGAATGATGGGATAAAAACAAACACACACCTCTGTTGAATAAAGTTCAACAGAAACAAAACTTGAAATAGATTTATTTACAAAAAAAGACTAAAATACAAATATATACACCTGCTACACACTTCCCCCCGGCATGAAAATGATGTCCTTAGCATTTGCCTAAAACAAGGGAGAGAAATGCATTCTGTACATCAGTACTGTCGTTGGCAAGGACTCCAGCGTTGATAAGAGAACTGAGATACTCAGCTCTGTTCCTCCAGTCGGGATGCAGAACTGCAGACATGACATACTCACCGCTAGACATCCACCGTGGCTGTGTCCGAGTCCTCCCTGATCTTCTGGGTTGCTGTGCCGGCACATCTTCAGCTAACTCAGGATCATCTTCCACATTGGCAGGTTCTTCTGGGGCTGCACCAGGATCTGCGTCAGTGGTCTCCACATCTGATGTCTCCTCTGCAGCAGGATCAACCTCAGCTGAAATATCTTCAGGCTGGTCTGGCTGGCTCCCAACTGCATCTCCAACTAAATCATCTTCGTCCAATGCAGAATCTTCAACTTCTGCTCTAGCCTCAGTTGGCCTATCAGCTGTATCCGCAGCTGACACTGACGGCTCAGACGAAGGGAAATATATGTCTGACTCGTCATCCTCTGAGTCCTTGACTGGAATAGCAAGTCTCTTTGATATTCTTGGTTTCGGGATAGGTCTCGGTGGTTCTGGTGCTGGTGGATCCGGTACAGGGAGTGCACCAATGGGAAGTAGAAGATTCCGGTGTAACACTCTCTTCCTACCTTCACCATTCTCCTTTCCGACCACATAGACAGGGATGGAGGGGTTCGGCTGACGAAGAACTGTGTATATGTCACCTTCCCATATGTCTGCTAGTTTGTGTCTTCCTTCAAAGGCGACGGTTTTAACCAGAACTCGGTCACCAGTCTCTATAATTGCTGCTCTTGCCTTCTTATCAAAGTAGGTCTTCTGATCCTGCTGTGCTTCCTTGCTGTTCTGTGAAGCTAGATGGTATGCCTCTTGGAGTCGATCTCTTAATGACTTTGTGTACTGCTGCAGTGACTTGGGCTTGCTTGGCTGGATGTCAAGTCCAAATGCTAGATCCACTGGAAGTCTTGGGCGACGCCCAAACATAAGGAAGAAGGGGGAATGTCCGGTAGACTCATGTCGAATGCAATTGTATGCATGGACTAAGGGTCCAACATGAGCCTTCCAGTCCCTCTTGGCGTCTGGTTCCAGAGTCCCCAACATATCACATAGGGTCCGGTTGAATCGTTCACACATCCCATTACCCATGGGATGGTAGGGTGTTGTGGACGACTTATCGATCCCAAGCAGCAGGCACAGCTCTGTCATCAGCTTACCAACAAAATTGGCTCCTTTGTCGGAATGAATCCTCTTGGGTAGACCGTAATGGATGACAAAGTTGTTGAAAAACAAGTCTGCTGTCGTCTTGGCTGATGTATTCCGACACGGATAGGCTTGAGCGTACCGGGTAAAATGGTCAGTAATGACCAACACATACTGTTGACCACCCTTGGATGGCTCCAGAGTCAAGAAGTCCATGCAGACCAGTTCCATTGGCTGCGACGTCTGGATGCTCACCAAAGGGGCTCTGATGGATGTGTTTCCCTTCCTTTTCAGACACCTCTCGCATATCTTCAGGTAGTCATCTACATCCTTGGTCATACCAGGCCAGTAGAAACGTTCCTTGAGTAGGGATAAGGTCCGATCTCTGCCTGGATGTCCTACACGATCATGCAAGCTTCTGAGTGCTGAAATCCTACATCTGGAAGGTAGTACTAGCTGTTCTTGATCACATCCATCCATGCTGGTGACTCTATATAACACACCTTCCCTCAAAGTCGAATGTGCAAATGTCTTCAATAAAGTAGTCATCTCCGGGTCTCCTTGGAACTGAGTTCTGTCAGGTCTCGTGGCATTCTCCAGATGCTCCATGATAACAGCAAGGGATGTGTCCTTCAGCTGAGCATGACGCCAATCCTTAGCATTGGCAGCACACACATGGTCACTTACATCTGCTTCACTTCCTGGAACCACTTCTGTAGACAAGCACAAACTCTTAACAAGATTAGGTGCACAAATCTTGTTACAGATAGCACTCACCACATCACGAGACAGGTCTTCCATCTGGACTGGGTCTTTGCTGGGCAAACGAGACAACACATCAGCATCAACGTTGCTCTTCCCTGGTCGGTACTTGATGGTAAAGTTGTAACTTGCTAGAGCAGCTAACCACCGATGTCCTGTGGCGTCCAGACGTGCTGTAGTAAGTACATACGTCAGGGGATTATTGTCAGTCATTACTACGAAATCATTGCCATACAAGTAGTCGTGAAATTTCTCTGAAACGGCCCATTTCAGACACAAAAACTCGAGTTTATGTGCTGAATAGTTCCGTTCAGATCGATTCAAACCCCTACTTGCATAGGCAATAACTCGTAGGTGACCATCATGCTCCTGGTATAAGACTGCTCCTAGGCCATGGGTACTAGCATCAGTGTGCAGCTCGAAAGGTCTTGAGAAGTCAGCAAACCCGAGGACTGGAGGTGATGAAAGTCTGTTCTTTAACTCCTGGAAAGCTTCTTCTTGAGCAGGACCCCAGTTCCAAGCAGTTTGGGATGTCTTAGACCTCGACTTCTTGGTGGCACACTTTGGCATAAGTTCTGAGAGAGGTCTGGCGATCTTAGAGAAGTCCTGGATGAATTTCCGATAGTATCCAGCAAATCCCAAGAATTTCCGGATGTCTTCTGGCGTAGATGGTGTTGGCCAGTGCTGAATCTTGTCTATCTTCTCTGGATCAGCTTCAATCCCCTCAGCAGACACAATATACCCAACGTTCCTCACCTTCCTCTTAAAGAACTTGCATTTCTGTGGGGCGAGCTTCAGTCCACATTCTTGTAATCTTCTAAAGACGAGCTCCAGCCTCTCCACATGCTTTTCGTATGTCCGGGAAAATATGATGAGATCATCAATGTATATAAGGCAAATCTTCAAGTTCAGTCCCTCTAGACACTTCTCCATAAGGCGCTGATAGGTCGCTGGGGCGTTTGACAAGCCGAACGGCATCCTGTTGTACTCGAAAAATCCAAGTGGACCTACAGTAAAAGCCATTCTCTCCTTATGGTCATCATCTATCTCGACTTGGTAATAGCCACTCTTCATGTCCAACACTGAGTAGAACTTGTTCCCTCCGAGACAATCTAGAAGTTCTTCAATTCTTGGGAGAGCATAACTGTCCTTAATTGTCCGGTTGTTCAGCTGGCGAAAATCTATGCATAGACGTAATCGGCCATCTTTGCGCTTGGCTAACACAACGTTGGATGCCCAAGGACTATGAGAGTGTCTAATCACACCAGAGGACAACAGTTCTTGAAGATGACTCGGAACCTGGTCATACATCGCTGGTGGTATACGCCGATGTCTCTGCTTGAAGGGCACGTCATCATTAGGTTCTATCCGATGCTTGACCATGTTGGAATGTCCAAGATCTTTATCGTGTTTAGAGAAGATGTCACCATACCTCGTTATAACCTCAAGTCCCTGTGCAACTTCATCACGTGTAAGTCCATCTTCCTCCAACTCAATGTCGTCAATCCACTTCTCAGAGTCTGAACATCTCATGTCTGGTAGGTCTTCTATTGTCACTGGTTGAAGTTCACACAGCAGAGCCTTAGTGGGAACAATCATGGTCTGGGTAGTAACATTAGACACATGAACTTGTATCTCATCTGGTCTGTCATGGCAGTATCTCACAACGGCTGGTATGATGTCTAAGTCCTTGGAAATAGTAGAGTCTACAGTTGGCTGTATAAGGGCACACACTTGTGGATATGGAATCCCCTTGCACAGTTGTCCACGAATAATGGCAGAACCATTAGCAGGTATGATTACAGGCTTATATTCAATGGACCTAACAAAGCCCAACTTCCCACCATTCCTCTCTAACTCCTTCTCTCGAAGCATCATACTTCTAAAGGCCAGGTACCAAGGTGTGTAGAGGTTGGCCGTCTGAAGGAATCGGATTCCATTAACCTTTCTGCAGGCATCCAAAAGCACTCCAAGAACATTAGTCCCAAGAAGAGCAGGAACTTTGGCATTATAGCTAGTGTCAGGCACAACAAGTAACAAACAAGTCATGTCATCTTGGTTATCACAACCATCACCAATGCCCTTGACCTTAACCTCAATGTAACCAGAGTAAGGTAATGAGTTACCACCTGCACATTCAATATTAAGAAGGCTTTCTACTGAATGTACGGGAATATGAGTGAGATACCTATCATAAAAAGAGCTAGACACAATAGACACTGTGGCACCTGTGTCCACTAATGCCCTAACAGGAATATTCTCAATAAGTATATCTACCTCATTTGAATTCCCAACTAAGTCAGTGTGTGCGAATACATGAGGGCTAGATGTAACACCTACGGGCGCCCCCGGGCCATAGGCGTGGCCGAGTTTAAAGGCCTCTTAAGATGGTCAAGACGTATACGACAACCATAATACAAATGTCCGGGATA